CGCAGAAACCCTCAAAAAGAGAAGCCAGTCTCTTCAGTAAGATGTTATCTAGTTCTGTGGGGAGGTAAGCGTTACGATTTAAGAATATTCTGTTAGCAAATCTAGCAGCCATGAAAAAAATCTCAAGTCATACCACAACATTTGAGCAATCCAACAGCTAGTCTGTATAATACCCTAAAATCTAAAAGCTCTTCTGTTTGTGAATTACAGATATTCACTGACTAGAAGTAAATAAATATATCCTACAAAAATGATGTAATTTATAAAACCAAAGGCTTTACACATTTTCTTTTCTTTTTTTTAAAAAATATATTTTATTGATTTTTTACAGAGAGGAAGGAAGAGAGATAGTCAGAAACATTGATGAGAGAGAAACATCGATCAGCCACCTCCTGCATATCCCCCACTGGGGATGTGCCCGCAACCCAGGTACATGCCCTTGACCGGAATCGAACCTGGGACCTTTCAGTCCGCAGGCTGACGCTCTATCCACTGAGCCAAACCGGTTTCGGCTTTACTCATTTTCTTAATCTAAGAAATAACTGATACCACTTAATAGAAACATGTGCTATGCATGACAAAGGGCAAATATGATAAATGACTGAATAGTTCTCACACCACATATCTATTCAATGCAGCTCTTGTATTTCAAGCGTCTCACACACAAATCCCCTGAATTTCACATGCAAAACCAAGAACAAACATTTCATTATCTATTGATTAGAGACTTGTACTACATAGTTCAAAATCACTTCTTCTTAAATTAGAATGTTCTTCCAGAATGGATTTCATGCGTTAAAGACTTGATTTAAAATAAAATACTGCATCTATCACACAGCCTGGACGTCATCGATGCAGGTATCGGGCAAACGTTCATGTTCCGAAAGCAGGAAGCCGCCACCTGAGCCCACTGTTGGACATCTCTGATGGGGAGCCCAGAGCCCTGTGGGCCTGGAGGGAGGGCGCCCCCTTGTGTCCGCATGCTTCCCCTCTTGCTGGCTGCATTGCATTTCCCCTTCCAGCTGTTCATTGACCAGCCCCCCGGAGAGAGCGTGCCAGGGCACAAGGCGACCCACCTGAGCAGCGATTCCTATTCTCCCTTCATTGAGGCTCCCTATGGCGTACTTGTAGCCATGGCCCACCTGCCCCAGGACATTGGCTTCTGGAACCTGGAAAAAAACCAATTATTTCTCAATTTAATTCAACATAATTCATTTTGATTATGTGTATGTGTGTGTGCGTGTGTGTGTGTTTTAAATGTTGCCCTAGCTCAGTGGTCAGCAAACTCATTATCAACAGAGCCAAATATCAACAGTACAATAACTGAAATTTCTTTTGAGCGCCAAA